CTTTGTGCCAATCTTCTCCCCAGGCTGGAGCCAGAGTGACCTTTCAAAATTGCAGATGTGTTCCTGTCACTCCCCTGCTCAAAACCCTCCAGTGGCTCCTCACCATCTAAGGGACAGTTCCTTTCTCCAACTGGTTCAGGTGATACAGCATCAGGATGTCATGAAATAATTGATCTATTAAATCGCACCACATGAAATGAAATGCTTTTCAAAAGAACACTTCTGCGAGCAGAAAATATGTCCGTATTATGTGTGTGTGCAATACGAAATCATAGCCATAAGCACAGATGTCCATGAAAAATAAACTGTTGAATTAGGCATGATCAGTACTGGGGTTGTCTGTTTAATATTCATTTGCTATTCATTCGTTCGTTTTGTTGCTTGCTAGCACATACGCAGAAGCATCTGTCAAAGATTTAGGAAAAATTTATGGTTAAAAAGTTAAAATAGAGAAATTTCTACCGATTAACTGATTTTTCCCCTCACTGTGAGTATCCATCCCATTTGCACTGGTATGGCATAAAATCTAAGCTCTTTGGCATGACCAATGAGACCCTTCTAGATCTGACCCCATCTTATCTTCCAGCCTCATTTACAGCAACTGTCCCCCACTCTACCACTCTCTCTGGCAGGCCAAGACTTGTAATTCCCTAACTGTTCTCTGTCCTTTTTGTCTATGATTTTACATATGCTCATCTTCTACTGCTCCCCACCCTATCCCCTTGCTGGCCAGATAAACTGCTACTCATACTTCAAGACTCTATTCAAAGACTCTTTTCAAGGTGCCTTCCCTCACCTCTCTGGGTTCCTACCTCCCAAGGTCTTGCTCCGGACTGATTATATCACTTATCACATTACTGGTTGTTTGTGGAGCTATCTGGCAACTGGCCTGGGAGCTCCATTGGTCATGTCACAGCCTTAGGAGTCCTTGTCACCCCATTTTATCCCCCTTGAGTTCTCTGGCACTTAGCACAGTGGCTGATGCAGTGGGGGACTCATCCAATAAGTGAGTAAAATTGCAAAGGAGGCAAAGCTTACTTTTGAAACCCCACAGGTCCCTACAGGGGTCCCCTCTCCACCCTTTTTTCACCCTTTCCTCAGCCCTTGGCACTCCATACCCTTATGCTGTCCGCTGTAAAAATCTGCCAGGATCTACCATTATTGCTACAGCCCAGGCTTCAAACTTTTCCCTCAGTAGCCTACCAAACCTTACCAGTCTTGCGTCTCAACCCTCCGCGTTAGATTTCAAATAAACCAGTGGTTCTCAAACCTTAACATAAATGAGAATCCCCTGGAGGTCTTGTTCAAACACGGAGTGCTGCGTCCCAGTCCTGGAGGTTCTGATTCAGTAGGTTATTGTTGTTGTTGTTGTTGGTGGTGGTGGTGGTGGAGGCGATGGAGGCTGAGGATTTGCATTTGTAATAACTTTCTAGGTGCTGCTGCTGCTGATCCAAAGACCACATTTTGAGAACCACCGGAATAAAAATGGACAAGCAAGAGGAATGCAAACAAAGGTATCCTTAATTCATCTTGACTTAGCCCCTTAACTGAATTTCAGATTCTGTCAGCACTGTCTGGATTTGGTTAATCCCAGATCATTTTCCCTCTGCTTCACCTTGTCATCCTCCTCCCACTTTTTGGTCTTACTTTTCCTATTCTCAGTTTCTTCACTTTACTTGACTAACCTTCTCTTTCTCCTTCATAAAGGCAAGGTTTCAGGACAAAGCCCTTTTCTGATATCTTGGCTCCATTTCACTGACCACTTCCCCCTTGTTGTTCCCCCCATCCAGTCTTAGTACCCCCTACCCCAGCAGTCAGCGTGAGCTTTCTAAAGCTTGGCTCCAATTAGGGCCCACTTCCTTCCAGCAGGGGTGGCCATTTCCCCTCCCCAGGGAGTCTGGTTCCACAAACAACATTGGCATGCTAATGACAGTCACCTGCTGGCTCTGGGAAGTCTGCTGTTTGCTCCAGCTTCCTTAAGAACAGTGGGATCACTGAAAATACCACATTTACTAGTACATGCTTCCTTTCAGTTAGTCACTCAACAAACTTTGATTGAGCACCTGCCGGACACTGTGCTGGGCCCAAGGGACCCTGCCAGGGCACTTAGAACATGAACACATGTTCATGGTAGTTCCTGAGGGTCCACAATGCCTCTTCATGAAGGGGATCTTTTTTTGTTTGTTTGTTTTTAGTGATTTTAGAGAGAGAGAGAAGAAGGGAAAGGGAAAGAGAGAGAAATATTGATTGGTTGCCTCCTGGACACACCCTGATGGGACAAAACCCCAAACCTGGGCATGTGTCCTGACCAGGAATTGAACTGGTGACCTTTCCGTGCATCGGATGATGCTCAACCAACTGAGCCACATCAGCCAGGGCATGAAGGGGAACTTTTGGCCACACTCATCAAGGTGGGGACAGACATTCAAGGCAGAAACTAACCACTCATAAGAGCCCTCCTGTCTTCTCAGCGCCAAAGATTGGGAGACACAAACGCAGTGAGTTTCCAAACTTCTTTGTTGAAATAAACATTATAATCCACACCTCCCAGTCATTGGCCCACTGCATTGAGTGAAATAAGGTATGTGAAGCCCAGAACGTAGTGAACTAAAACCTCTCTACACACTGACATACACACACTGACACATGCACAATGACACATATACCAACACACACATTGACATGTACATACTGACTCACATACCGACACACAATACTGGGGTACACACCTTTACCTACATACACACTGAAATTACACACTGACATACACATTGATATAGACAAACTGAAACACACACACTGGCCAACATGCACCAACAAATACTAACATAGGACTAAATGCATGCTGATACACACACATTGACACATGCTGAAACACAGACACACAGCAGACACACACACTGACATATAAATGCACACCTACTCAAACATTAACTCCAACCCACAACCCACCGAAACTGGGAGGCCCAGGCCCTACGGGGACTTGCAGATGAGATGCAGGGGGCAGGGCGTGGAGGCATGAAAGGGTTGCAGGAGACTTGAATTACACACTTGGTTCTAACCTGAGAGGTCCAGTGGTTTGGAGGAGGACTCCACAAGGTTCCAAGGGTCCCTAGGGGCAGGTGGGCAGAGTGGACCACACTGGCAGGCCACCAAGGATTCTGTGCTAAGGTGCTGGGGGAAATGTCCGGGGCTTTGGTCAGTGCAGAGCGCTAAGGCCGGAGGGCAGTACACCCAGAGAAAGGCAGGGTTCCCACACAACCAGTACTCCGCCTGCCCAGCTCTGCAAGCTCTACACAGCTCTGGGTATCAGCTCTCAGCTCTGGCTTCCAAATGCCTGCTTCTGGTCTCACTACCATCCAGACCCACGTCCACCACACCCCATCCTTTGCCAGGGAAGACCTGCCTCCCTCCCAGTCACCCATCCTGGA